CAGGACGGTTGACATTGATTGTGCGGGAGACAGACTGAGACACATTAGTACCCAGCTCGCTCCCGCTGCTGCTGAAAAACACATTAACCGGCTGCATTGGGAGCCCTGTCTGGTAACCATGGCAAAGCACACAGGCGGGGAGGAGGGCTGAGACGGGGCAGCGGGTTCAGCTCGCAGTCTCTCAGGGGTTGTCTTTCTCAAACGCTCCTTTCCTTTCCTCCGGCCACGTCTGTCATTTTCTCTCAGCCTCTCTTTTGAACCGTCGCTCTCTGCCTCTCACACACACATAAACACATTTGCATATTTCTTTTTTCTTCTCTTGCATTCTTCTTATTGATGTTGACCTCATCACTCTGCCCTCACCTCACACTCCACCCCCCTCATCCCAAGACCACATAATCTGCCGCTCTCTAATTTGCTTCCCCCCTCCACCGAAATGCCTTTTCTCCATCGTCAATATGGTTCCTGTTTGTGCAGAGGACGGTGTTAAAGAAAGTAAAAAAAAAAAAAAGCAGGATAAACTCGGCTTAAAGTGACAAACTATCTAAAGGAAGTAACATCACTCGTCATATCACTTCCACAAGTTTTAATTTTTACCAAGTTACTCATCTGTGACACTTCACTCTGCGTGGGATCAATTACATTCATCTCATCAATCAGTCACACTCGTTAAATGACATTAAGGCCTGCCTTTTGTGGCTGGATGGCTTTTCTTTCAGTGGAAACTTTCCTGACTGTGAACACACAGACAGGTACAAACAAGTCCTCAGGTGTGTGCTTAAGGGCTGTTTTTATGTACTTGTATTTTGCATATTTCCATGTGAGAAGACTTTCAATTCACATCAAGGTTTTCTGTTTTTGTCGCCGAGTGCTCGTTGAAAAGCTCTCACTGGTTTAATATAATACCCTACGTGTTTACCCTCACTGTGTGGAGCACCTTGAGGTGACTTTTGTTGTGAAGTGGCGCCGTGTAAATAAAATTGAATAGAACTGAATCAACTCTTACAAATTTGACACTTTTTAACTGTGCTGTTGCCACGGCGATGGCTGCTACTGTACGGTAATTACAAAATAGTGTTTATTTAAGTGAAACTGGAGTGCAGGTAGAGCGGAAACACGACGCCTCAGTGATGTCAGCTACACACTCCATCCATCCATCCATCCATCATCTATACACCTTTTAATCCTCACTAGGGTCACGGGGGGCTGGAGTCTATCCCAGCTGACTCAGGGTGAAGGCAGGTTCACCTGGACAGGTAGCCAGTCTATCACAGGGCTACACTTAGAGACAGACAACCAAGCACACTCACATTCACACCTACGGACAATTTAGAATCACCAGTTAACCTCAGCATGTTTCTGGACTGTGGGAGGAAGCCGGAGAACCCGGAGAGAACCCACGCTGCACGGGGAGAACATGGAGACTTGCGACGCAAACCGGCGACCTTCTAGCTGCGAGGCGACGATGCTAACCACCGAGACACCTTGCAGCCCTGCATAAATATATAAAGTAATTGTATAGAAATGACAAAGGCTTCATTTTGTTGCCCATAAATTAAACTTTGCAGGAGGAATAACATTTCTTTCCTTTCATATGTAAAAAGTTAACTTACCTCACTTAAAGGCTAATATATTAACACCATCAGTTCATCACCGTCACCACCTTCTCTTACAGTCTGCATATAAAATAGATCTAAAGTGATGAAATTCACATACATGTGGGCGACGCAGACGGACTCACAGGAAACCAAAGACATCACTCAAGCAAGTGATGATCCACAGCCTGCCACAGAAACATATATATAATCTTTCTACTAGGAGAACTTTACTATACAACCCTTCATCATTTAATGATGATTACAAGTAATGGAGTAAATGTACTTTCCACTACAGGCTGCTTTTATAAATCACAGTAACCTAGGAAGTCTGCGATTCCTTCCAAAGCCCTTAAACGTCACATCCAGCTGAGACAGCGACAATAATGATGCCACTGTGCATGTTAGAAGATTATTAATGTCATTTATTTGACAGCTGTAGGTTGGAACAACTCATGAAGGCAGCAGGCGTAGACAGAGAGCAGATGCACACGAAGGTAAGTTTTATTACTATATGCATTATGAGCATTCAAAAACATTCAGTCATAAACTGAAAAACTAAAATAATGACAAGACAAAAAGTAAAGCTGAACTTGAGGGGCTTGCAGTTACCAATGCAGGTGTACTGTACCTGGGCTACGATCAGTTAAGTAAAAGTACCAATACAGCCATGTATCTCTTAGTTATCTCTACTTCTGTCATGTTATTTCTACTGAGTCAAATCCACTCAACTTCAGTTTGATCGATATTTTCTCAAGTAAACTACAATAAAATATGTTATCTGAAAATCTACAAAAACTGAGTTTTCCGTTTTTGCAAACGAACTCTTCACTTCTTTATAATAAACTGTTACAGAGCGGTCAAGACACGATTCATATAAGAGGAGAGAAGAAATATTAAGTTCTAATGCACAAATCTGTTTTTGGTTTCTGAGTTTTTCTCTAATATTTCCTTTTATATCGGATCATTTGGACGACGGCTGTATTTAATTATTATTTTCACCGTCAATTAATGTCTCAATTATTCGCTTATTTGCTTGTCTGTCACTGTTGTTGTCTTTAAAATGTCAGAAATTTGTGAAAATGTCAAGTTGTGTTCACCAAAACCCCAAAACAGCAGAATGGATTAAATGTCTTGTTTTTGTTCACAACCAACAGATATATTAGTTTAATGTCATGGAGAAAACAAACACACACAACATATTTACATTTTCAAAGATGGAATCAGAGAACTTTCAATTTTCACCTTTAAAAAAATTAATTCTCAATTATCAAACTATTAATTTAATAGCTGAGAACGACTTCATTAATTGGCGAATCATTGCAGCCTGAATTTGAACTTTTACTGAAATTAGCCCATGTGAGAGTTTCAGAAAGAAAAATCACTATTTGGTGGATTTGTTGAAACTTCATGCGATCTGAAATGTGACTTTGGCTACTCACGGCTCTCTGCTCATCTTCCAGCTGAAACAGGTGGTTCTCGGTTTCAGGAGGTCAGATGTCCACATTATGAAAGGAGGGTCGGAGCACACTGATGACACCTTTTATGGTGTCAAATTGTTTTGACATTACTGCGCCTTGATCAGAGCCAACTTGAGGAGGGTTTGTTCGTCATGCATGCTGCTGGCATGGTGTTTGCCCACCTTGAGTTGTTATCCAATAGGTTTGAAATCCCTGTTCAACCAATTATCCAATGACAACTGCACACCTGGTTTTGGTTGGATGTATAAGATTTCCTGGCTGCATGGTGGCTCAGTGGTTAGCTAGAAGGTCACCGGTTCGTGTCCCGGTGAGGACACCCAGGATCTTTCTGCGCGGAATCTCCATGTTCTCCCTGTGCAGCGTGGGTTCTCTCCGGGTTCTCCGGCTCCCTCAAAACAGTCCAGAAACATCCATCCATCCATCATCTATACACCGCTTAATCCTCACTAGGGTCGCGGGGGGGCTGGAGCCTATTCCAGCCGACTTAGGGTGAAGGCAGGGGACACCCTGGAGAGGTCGCCAGTCCATCGCAGGGCTACACTTATAGACAGACAACCAAGCACACTCACATTCACACCTACGGACAATTTAGAATCACCAATCAACCTCAACATGTTTTTGGACTGTGTGGGAGGAAGCCGGAGAACCCAGAGAGAACCCACGCTGCACGGGGAGAACATGCAAACTCCACGCAGAAAGATTCCGGTGCCCCCACCGGGAC